GTCTGATAGCAGTATGTTAAGTTTGTCTATCATTCCCCATTTCTTTAGGTAATAGATTTAAAATAAGGGAAAAAGAGGAGAGGTCTTCCAAATTGACCGGGTAAGGACCACTGAAAATTTGTTCTTCCATAACAGCAGTGGACACTACTAGCAAAAAATTTTAATAGCAGCTTTTTGAGATCTCTGGAAGTTAACAAAAGGCTTGCAAAAATGCAGAATGTTTATTTAAAAAAACAGTTGAATCTTTGTATGGACAGCAAGTTTTGTGGCATTTTAACTTACTCATTCCCATCTCCGTCTCCCCAGCTCTAGGGTAGCTGTGAAAACAACAGCCCCATAATTATATTAGCTGTGAAGACCAGCAGCTTAGCAGCCACTGGCACAGGAAGACCTGATTTGGGGCTCCCCACAAGCCCTCTCCCCAGGAAATTGCTATTATTTGACTTGTTTGGCAGCTCAATGGAAATTTCCACTCACAGAGCTTGTCTTTATTCAACTGGGCTTGGAGCTCCCCTACTTGGAGCAGAATTTACCCCTGGGGCCTTTGTGGGGAAAATAGTTAGTAATTATTTAATGTTGCAACTGCCTTAGGCAGGCATAACAGTTGCAGCTAGCAAGAAGCTGACCAGAAACCTTAAAAGGAGAAGCATGGGAAAGAAATATTTCTAGGGGGCTTTGAAAAGCTCTGACATATTCCTTTGAATCTAGAAAGGCATGTTCACTTGTAGAGTTGTTTATACGCCCAAGAAAGATATGAGAAAGCCCTAATCTCTCAACTTTGGCTGACCTTGAAGTTCTGTGTAAGCAGAAGGTGCAAGCTAAATAAACTTCCTGTCACAGAAATGAAGGTATTCCCCAGATGCCCACAGATCCCCTCTGCGAGGTGGGGAGACTTACTGGCCCAAAGCTTTCAAGGAAATCTCTGTCGAATCATTAACTGACACTTAAGCTAACCACGAGAAAATAATAGTTTAGGGATGTACTAAACAACAATAGTAACAGTAATAACAGCAACCTACAGAAACAACAACAAACCCTACACAGAGTGACTGAGGAGCAAATCTAATTCCCAGAGTTATCACATTATATTATTTAAACTATTCAGTTGTTAACAAAAAATAATGAGATGTATAAAGCAATTGGCAAGTATACAGGGAAAAAAGCAGTCAGTAGAAACCCTCCCTGAAGCCCAGATGAACTTGCTAAACACAGACTTTAACTTATCTATTATAAATATGTTAAAAATACCAAAGAGAAACATATAGAAAGAAATAAAGGAAAATATGATAACAATGTTCATCAATTATAGAATGTCAATAAGAGATGGGAATTATAAAAAAAGAACCAAATAATAGATCTGAAATTTAAAAGTATAATCAACAAAATGAAAAATTTGCTAAGAAGAGTCAACAGCAGGTTTGAGAAGCCAGAAGAAAAAAATCACCAAACTTGAACATAGAATAGCTGAAAACACCTAGTTTTAGATACAGAACAAAAAAGAATTTAAAAAATGAAGAGTCTCAAACACATGAACATATGCATAATGGGAGCCTCAGAAGGCAAGTAGAGAGGAAAGGTTGCTGAAAGAATATTTGAATAAGGAATGGCTAAAAACTTTCCATATTTGATTAAAATAAACACTAATCTATACATTTAGAAAGCTCAACATTCTCCAAGTAGGATAAACTCCAGGGATCCATATCTAAACACATCCTGATTAAGTTGCTGAAAGTCACTTACAAATAGAAAATCTTGAAAGCAACTGGTGAGACGCTATCCATCACATGCAAGTGATCCTCAGTGGAAAGGCTGTATGGTGGCCATGCAACAAACTATAGCACGTGGTAAAGAAAGTGAGCTTTCTTCCTGCTTCCGCACAAACTACCCAGCCTTTCTCACATTTGGAAAGGTCACCAGGGCATCTGAGACAGTGCCGGTGGAGCTTTGGCACCACACTGGTGAAGAGTCCAGTTATGCCCACAGGAATTCTGGAGTGGGAACGGCAGCCCATTGCTCAGCAGATGCTATCCTGGCATGTAAAGAGGGAGGGGATTTAGAGGTGAGTGCTGGAAGAAATGATGAGTTAGCAATAAAGTTGGTTTTTGGTTTGTTTTTTTTTAAATCTCAGGGATTCTCAGAACTACTTAAAGTGGCTTTTGCAAGGGGCTGTGGGTCTTAAACTACAAGGGAAAAATGACCAAGCAACAATTATCACTGTTAATGGGACTTTATTTATAGCCATAATCTAGAGGTCTGGCAAAATGTGATTATGCTTATATTGTCTTCTTAACCTCCTCCTACCCATATAAATTGACCTTGAGATTCTTGAGGGCTGAGACTGAGGATTTTTAAAGAAGTCTCTGTAGCCTCATTACGTATCAGAGTATCTAGCACAGAGTATAGGTACTGAATATGTGGCTGTTGAATAATCAAATAAAGTTAGTCAAAGAATAATTATGTGCAACAAACAAATTTAGAAGAAACAGGTGGAAGTTATAGGAATGTAATTTAAATGCCTTTCTAATATTCCTTTCTAACAACCAGAACTTTCTATTACTGGAAGAAGGCCATCAGGACTTCCTGATAGTCTTATCGCTAGAGTAGTTTTCAAGCCTTTGGTCTTAATTACATGGAGACCAGCCATGACAAAGGAGTTAACCACATAAGACAATAAACAGAAGTGACGAGTCAGCAACCAAATTGGTTTTTAGAAAAGTCTTTAAGGACTGTAAAAAACTGAGTAAGCCTTAAACCAGAGTTCATCAGAATAGAAATAGTATCCTAAAATATTGTTACATGAAGCCACAGACATTACGTTCAAAAGCTATCCTAGTATAACTCTAAGTGATGTTCCAGGACTAAGGTATCCAATGGACGTTATCTATAGTAAAGATGTTAAGTGATGAAAGGTTAAAGCAAAGATTTACAAGGTGTTGAGAGCAGGCTGTGATTCATAGACTTATAGCTTATTTCAATGTCTCTTCCATGGCCATCGGCGATGAAAATGCTACAGCCAATTGTCTTTTTCCTTGTAAGTCCCAATACATGACCAAAGGATCCCATGTCAACTAGAGGAAAATTACTAGACAATGCAGGAAAGGTCTTCTGAGATAAATGAACATTCCACATTCATTTAAAGGCCATAAATAGAATGATGAAGAGGACTATCTCATAATGTCAAAGTTCAAAGGCACTTTTCTAAAGTCTTTTAGAAGAAAATCTGACCTTTCTTTCTTTATTATTAGAAAGTTTGCCAAGGGCAGTCTGCGGCTTGGGTCATTTCATGTTGACATGGAAGCCCTTTTAGCATTAAAAATAATCAAAAGGCCAGAAATATTTAACTCTGCAGGGACTATGAGGACACATTCAGCAGTGTAGAAAAGAACAATAATGAAGCATTAGAATTTCAAAGGTTGTGTTTTAATAATTCCATACAGCTTTCCCCCCTTATATATGAAAGACTTAACTCATTTGAGGTCATGACTAGGTAAAGGAGTAAGCAGAAATAGATATTTTTCTAATATATTTCATGTAATTTTACACAAAGTTTTTAGAAACATCATTGAGTACACCACCAGTAATTTTCTACGTCTAAATATTTTTAGGTATAGATTAGCTAACATTAAATACATATATACAGATGCAAATACATCTTCCTAAAAACAAAAACCTCTTACAAAATGTCTATTTTTCCCCATTTTAAAGTGTAACTTACAGACAGTAAAACTGACCCTTTTCAATGGACAGTTCTGCACGTTTAACAAATGCAGTTGCACAATCACTACCACAAGCAAAATATACAACAGTTTCATCATAACCCAAATTCCCCCACCCCCCTTCACAGTAAACCCCTCTCTCCATCCCCAGTCCCTAAAACTACTGATCTGCTTCCTGTTCTTATCATTTTTCCTTTTCAAGAAGGTCTTATAAATGGAATTACGTAGTATGTAGCAAAGGCCTATTTTAAAATCCATGCCCTTGATAAAAAATAAAGTAACTAAATAAAGTGTCCATTTTGATTTATTGATTTCTATTTTCTAAACTTAAAGGCAATGATATAGAAAATCAAATTACCCTTGAAACAGACATTACCCAGGGAAACTTTTGAATATATAGATCTTTGCCTAAAGATTACTTTCAACATATTAAATCAAAATGCCTCTTTGGGTTCTGAGAATTCAGTTTTTACCAAGTTCTCCAAGCTTGATGGTGATTGATGAGCAAGATTCAGGAAATATTAACCCAATAGATATTCACTGAACCTTGGTTTTGTCCTCTGTCATGCAAGGGTATAATGTCTACTTCATAGGATTACTTGGGGGGTGGATGCATATAAAGCATTTGAATAGTACCCGCCACACTTTGCACTCAAAGAATGGAAGCTGCTCATCTTGCTGTCAGTATCATTACTATCATCTTGCGCCGTGAGCACTTTACTTGTCCTTCTCCACACTTCTGCATTTTGGTCAATTTTGCTATTTTTAGCCTTTCCTCTAGATGTGACAAAAGCAGAGAAAATCCATTTTTGTAGCAGCCCAGCTATTTTTCAGGGTGGTGCAAAGCTAACAAAAATTCATTGACAATTCCCAACCCTCTCTGTTACCCTGTGGCAGCCTCAGTCAGATATTAAAGGGGACAAAAAACGAATTACTGTATACTCTCACTCTTTTTCCTCAGGGGATGCTATTGCCCAAATGTAAGGAAACAAAAGGGAGGAAGAGAAATGAAGAGCCAGAATAAAGCAGAACATTAGGCTCTTGGTGTAGTTAGGAAATAATTAAAAATTGTCTTTATTCATTAGCAGTTTTAGATGTATATACATGTATTTTTAAATTATAGTTTTTGTTTAAGCCCTGAAGTACAGAACAGTGATGCTATTTGGGTGTACTTGCTGGTCTCAAGAAATAACACCTCCTGTCCTTAAAGAATATATGCAGTGCTGCCAGCGCCGGGGACGGAAGACAGGGGTCAAAGACAAACCTGAAACTGACAAGCCCTACCTGTTCTCAGCATCGGCACTGCACTTTGGGGACATCAACTCAAAGGATTTGGTAAACTTCACCACCTGCCACACAGAAAAACAATAAATTCTAGTCAATTAAGGTTTTCTCATAGTTAAAACAATGCAATAAACAGTTTTCATCTTTATAGTGGCTATTTCAATAATTGGAGATTAAAGAAGGATTTTAAATGAAGAAATCCCAAGGGTGGGAAGAAAATTCTATCTTACCTTTTGTAATTTCTTTTTACATAGCATACATTTCAAAGTTTTATTACATCTTATTAAATACATGCACAATTTTTACAATCAAGTATGTACTATTCTGTGGTAGTCAGCCAAAGGTACATACCATCTGAGTACAACTTTTTTTTTGCTGTCCTTTTAACCCAATCACCATCCATGGAGACAAACCACCCTTCAGAAAGGATGCCCTCCCTCAACTCCAGGCTCCTAAAGCTTGGGGTTATCATGGCTCATCATACTTCTCAAGGGAATGTTTTGTTGCCACTTCCCAGAGGGTAAAGAAGAGGAGGCCACCCTCTTCAAAGACCATCCACCCCCATTGTGAACACCTCCTTCCCCACTTGCCCAGTGAGACCACACACCCAGTGGAAGAGCTTTATCAAGGCTTATTGGGTCAAAAGGGAATTTACAGTCACAAAAAAATACAAAGGTGGTATTTCCTATTATCTATTATTGAGTTCTTACTATAAACCAGGCCCTATATCAGAGGCTCCATTGACCATTTAATCCCCTTAATACAACTCTGTTAAGTTTTTATCTTCAGTAGGTAGGTGAGGAAGCTAAGCCATAATTTTTTTTAAAAACCTGCTCAGTTTCATACAGTAATGGCTCTAGTCTTAGTTCTTTCACCAACACTGTAAGTGTTGAGTGGGAAAGGCACCATTCCTGGCCCTCTTTTGACAAGGTACACTACATGACAGAAAAATGAGCCCCTTGTGCTGAAAGGAGTCCTCTGAATGTCACTGGATGCTTCTGAGGCTGACATTTAGGTTTGCCTTTGCCAGATGCTGTCATGCTTCAAAAGCCTTCTGAATTAACCACTTACACAAAATTGATGGGCACCTGAGAAATGATTTGAAGACTGGAAATAGATTAAATATTTTAAAAGATTTATCAGTGAGGTAGTGAACCCAAACTAAGAAAATGCAACATTAGGAAAAGGCTAAAATAAAAGCTCATTACAAAGAAAATTGTGTGTGACTAGTTGAATGCAGAGCAGTGACAATAGCTCAACTGCAGGGAAATAATCTGGACAGCAATTAAACATATTTCCTTTCATATTCTGACATGAACTAAGCCTTTACAAACTCACTCACTGTGGCAAGTGTTAGTTTCCAAAGATGGCACAACAGTATCTCCTACCCCACCTTCCCCTCTACAATATGACCCTGCCACCCTGCCACAAGGTGGTAGGTCTCTTTTCTCTTCCTTTGAATCCAATGGGCTTCTGACCACTTCAACCAACAGAGTAGATGGGAGAGATGCTATGTGCCTTTTGAGGTTGTCATAAAAGGCAATGCAGTTCTGCCTCATCTAATGGAATACTTGTGCATAGACTCCTGAATTATCATGTAAGATGTCCTACCCTGAGGCCTCTATGTTCCAAAGGAGCCAACCCATACAGAGAGGCCACAGGCAGATGCTCTGGTCAGCAACTCTAGTACTTAAGCCCATCCCAGCCTAGACACCAGACATGTGAGTAAACAAACCTTCACATGATCCCAGTGCCCAGCCATTAAGTGACCCCTGATCTCCATGTTTTTCCAAATGTGGCCCCAGATATTCTGGAAAGAGGCAAGTCATCCTCCCTAGGTCCTCTTCAAATTTCTGATTCACAGGATCTCTGAACATATAGCATGGCTATTTTATGCCCCTAAATTTTGAGTTAAAAAGTAAGTGGGAGGCTTGTCTTGAGGACTTTAAAACAGAAACCAGTCACTTAGAAATCCCAATCCAGCTGCAATATTCTTGGGTCTCACAAGCCCAGGAAGCTACATAGAAACTATTTGCTCTTACCAAATAATAATTCTCTCAAACTATAGCTTAAACAATTCCTAAAGGCAATACAATAATGAGATAAAAACTAGAAGTGTCTATATTTGCAGAGTGGAGAACTATCACAGATTTTAAATAATAGAATTAGTCCTATGTCTCTATTTTGATTTCTCATCATTTGTGATTTCTTTCCATATTTTGTTAGATGACCGTAAATTCTTCTCTTATTTTAAACATGTTTTAGGCTGTTACTATGGACTTGAATGCTTGTGTCCCCCCAGAAATTTGTATGTTGAAATTCTGATCCCCAAGGTGCTGGTATTTGGAGATGGGGCCTTGGGGAGCTTTAGTGGTCAGGAGGGTGACTCCTTGTAAGGACTTTAACACTTTTGGAAGGAGATGAGAGAGCCTGCTTCTCCTTCTCTTCCCTGCTGAGTGAAGATGCGATGAGAAGATGGCCATCTGGAGACACTGGATCTGCCTGTGCCTTCATCTTGGAATTCCCAGCCTCCAGAATGGTGAGAAATACACCTTTGTTGTGTAAGCCACCCAGTCTGTGATCATTTGTAATAGCAGCCTGAACTGCGGCAACTCTGTCATACCATTACATTGCAAATCCACATGAGGCATGTTGCATACATTTTGGCCAATCCTTTACACATGAACCAATGCTTACAGCATCCCAGCAAAGGTATACATTGTTATCCTTATTTTACTGAAGGGAAATTAAGGCTAGAGGGGTTCGGTGGTTTCCTGGAAAGCATACAATCAATACACTGGAGAACTGGGATTTGAACCATGTCTATCTGATTTCACAGTCCCTGGGTCCCACTACTGACTGCTCTCACAAGCATGGGCAAGCTGTCCTGAACAGGGAATTATCTGGACGTGATTTCTTCACAACCAGAATAGTTAGGTAAGCTCTGCCATTAGTTATTAATCCTACAAGTAAAACATGCGGCTTGATAGAAAACTAATCACATTACCAATCAACATTAATTGTTCCTGCATTTGGAAATCAAAAAGGATATATCTTTTCATTTTCTGACCTGACAGATGCAGTTTAAACTCTCCAATATTATGGAGAATACTTCATTGGACTTCTTTTTACTAGAATACTTTTTAGTAGAATACGACTCTGAAAGGAGAGATGTGAATTTCTGAAACACTGATAGCAATGCAGAGTGGATTGTAATGAGGGGAGTAAGTTCCCCTTGTCGGGTCTTTAAAGATCACTCTAACATAGCTGTAGAAATTACACTCAGAAAGACATGCGAAATTAAAAAAAAGAATTATTATACTCGCAGGTCCTAGGGAGAAGGACTTGACATGCCCAGAGAATCACATAAAGCCACCCAAAGCCCACATTTGGTCCTTGTAGGTAGGGAAATTGCAGAGCAAAACTCGTGTGGTTATAGCCTTTATTGAGGGTTGTGGCTAGGGTAACTTGTGGCACTCAGGAAACGTTACCACTGGGTAGTCTGAGTGTAGCTGGGTCACACTGAAAGGAGGGAAGGCATCAGCTGGGGAAGTCATCTTGAAGCCTATCATTTGAACGCACAAGGTGAAGATGGAAACGCAGAATGGCAATAACTAGGTAAAAGTTGAAAGCAAGCAGGATGATTCTCGGCAGGCAACCCACTAAGGCAACAACAAACTGTTCTTATGTTACACAAATGATTTTTTGGCCTATAGCTATGCAAATAGTTTTACCTAAGTAGAAATGCAAATGATTTCTGAGCAGTAGAAAAGATAAGCCCATAGTAAAGATTTTGCTTTCCTGGATGATCTAGCATTTTTAAAGTCCAGCAATCACGCCAGCATTCTCTCGGTGCCTGTCTTAGAACTGACTTTGCCAGCTTGCTGGTTTCTCTCATTAATGAGTTTGATAAATCTTTGACACATGTTTGCTTTAGATTTGTCCAAGGATTAGTTTATTCACTGTCTGATGCAGCAATTGCACACCATCTGTGTGTGTCATGTAGAGCAACAGGCACTGGGGCTCCACCTGATGGAGTGAAAGGAAAAAGCCCCCACGTGCATGGAGCTTCCATACTGTAGGGCTGGGTGAGCCCTGGCTCCTCGAAGTAGTGCTCCCTGGAATAATTAGTGAACTGCTTCCCGTACCTTAAGAAATCAAAGGTGGGAAATGTCCAGAAATTAAAAGAGAAAAAAAAATTTGTAACATATATATTTTTTAAAAGCTGCTTAGACATAGTGACTTACCAGAAGACAAAAAGTGGAATATAAAATCCTGGACTTCTATAACTATAGAACTTATACATCTGGAATCATAAAGAGAGTGGATAAGGTTTGTTAAAAGTACCTCTTGATAAAATGTCAGAATGTGTAAATTCTTGAAATATAAAAGAGGAACTTTTAAAAAATTACCACAGGGGAGAAACATGTTTTTCTAAGATGTTAGAACTTTTAATTCCAGCATAAATTCACATGCTAGGGGGAAAACACCCTCAAAGTCTAGCATTTTGTTGTTTTATTTCCTAAATACATGTTTAAGAAATAAAGTCAAGGATTGTGTATCTTTCAACTTGAGCATATCATGGAGATGACTAGATACATCCCCCAGTCAACCAGCCCTTGGCGTGCTGATCAAAGCCAGGCTCTGGGTTCATGACCACGGTGTTGACTTTGTGTGTTAGAGTTAACCTTACCCAGAGAAAGGTCTGGCCTTTGTCCTTGGCTCCTGAAAGTTGACCTCTAAGCCTTCAGAATGTCTAACCTTAAAAAAAAAGTGTCTTTGTTTACCCAGGAGCCTTGGGCCAGCCAGATAGTAACAACCTAATTCATATTATTGAGCAATGCCAACAATATGATTAGGGTGGGGTCTTTGGGTCACATGGAGCCAGTTAATCTGTGGAGGAGAGGAAGATTGAGGTCAGCTACACGGGTGGCCAGCTGGGTTTTGGTGATCATGGCCCAGTGAAGAATCTGGACACCCTGGGTCAGGTAACCCTCCTGGTCTGGGTCTGGCAGTACTTAATGCATGCTGTCATGCAGTGTTGCTGGGAGAAGTTAATGCTGTC